GGCCTTTGAGTACCTAGTTATGCCTTTTGGATTACAGTCGGGCTCCGCCTGTTTTCAAGCATTCATGCACCACGTGCTGGGGTCCCTGCTGTACAAGAACTGCGTAGCCTTCTTGGACGACATCTTAATCTATTCGGACAATGAGGAGCAACATGTCAGGGACGTCAGGGAAGTGCTAAAACGACTGCAGAAGCACCAGTTGTGGGTCAAACTGGAAAAATGTCAGTTTCACGCCAGAGAAGTCGAGTTTCTGGGGTACAGGTTGTCAGACAAGGGCCTAGTGATGGACCCAAGCAAGGTGCAGGCAGTGCTGGAGTGGAAGGCTCCCAAAACACGGAAGGATGTGCAGAGGTTCCTAGGGTTCAGCAACTTCTACAGGAAGTTCATCAAGAACTTCGCCCACTTGACAGCGCCCATCACAGATTGTCTCAGTAGCAAAAGGAAGTTCGTCTGGACAGAGGGAGCCCAGCAGTCCTTTGAAAGACTGAAGAAGGCATTTGCATCGGAAGAGCAGCTCCTGCACGTGGATCTGGAGAAACCCATGAGGCTAGAGACTGACGCGTCCGACAGAGCCATTGGGGCGGTTCTTTTGCAGCCAGGGAGGAGCAAGCAGGAATGGAAGCCGTGTGCCTTTTTCTCGCAAAAGCTGAGCAAATTGGAGCAAAACTATACTGTGTATGACCGTGAACTGCTTGCGATCTATGCGGCATTTCGTCGATGGCGCCATCTACTAATAGGGGCGCAGCACAAGATCCAGGTTTGTACAGATCACAAGAACTTGGAATACTGGAGGACCGCACGAGTACTCAACCAGAGACAGATTCGATGGGCACAGGAGTTCTCCAAGTTTTCCTTCGAAATCCGATACGTACCTGGGGAGGAAAACGTGAGAGCAGATGCGCTCTCCAGGAAGCCAGAGTACTGGGAAGGAGAGGGGCCACCGGAGATACGACACGTGATCCCCGAGGACCGGTGTGTGTGTGTGGGAATCTTGGTAGGGAAACGAGAACTGGCCGGACTCACTAGAAACGACGTGTTCGCACAAACTAAAATCCAGGAAATCCGAGATGGAAGAGAAACCCAGGGAGGGTTTGAGGAGAAGGAAGGGGTGCTGTACTATAAGGGGGCGCTGTATGTACCGGGGGAGACCCTACGGGGGAAGGTACTCAAACAACTCCACGACAATCCCACAGCTGGACACTTTGGACAGCACAAAACCATGATGCTTGTCACCAGGCAGTTCTGGTGGCCCAGGGTGACGGAGGATGTACGGGAATATGTACGTGGTTGCAACCGCTGCCAAAGGGCAAAGGGGGAGCGGGCTGCCCCCGCAGGATTACTGGAACCCTTACCCACGCTGGAAAAACCCTGGGAGGTGGTGTCCATTGATTTTATGACCGATCTGCCCAAGTCCCGGGGAAAGACAGCAGTCATGGTAGTGGTCGATTTACTGACAAAAATGTGCCATTTTATAGCCTGCTCACATGCGGTTACGGCAGAGGAAACAGCCAGGTTGTTTGTAGATCACATCTTCAGGTTGCATGGGGCTCCTTCAAGGGTTATCTCCGACCGCGGGAAACAATTTACTTCCCGGTTCTGGAGGAAGCTCATGAGCTTGCTACAGGTCGAAGTGGGCTTCTCGACGGCGAGACACCCGGAAACCAACGGGCAAGCAGAAAGAGCGAACAGTATACTCCAGCAATACCTACGCTGTTACGTCAGCGAGAGGCAGAACGATTGGGTGGAGAAACTAGCGCTGGCTGAATTTGCGTACAATAACGCTGAACATGTGTCCACGGGAATGAGCCCGTTCATGGCCAATTATGGGTGTCACCCCAGGGCCTTCCCGGGGAGTGGGGAGGAAAGTTGGAGCGTGCCTGCGGCAGAGCAGTTTGTGGAAGAAGTGGAGGCCCTGCACCAGCAACTTAAGATGAACTTGGAGCGGTCCAAGGAAATTTACAAGAGGCAGGCAGACAAGCACCGTAGGGAAGGGGAAACCATACGGGTGGGGGACAGAGTGTGGTTGTCAACCCAAGGGTTACCCTTTAAGGGGGGGTGCAAGAAGTTGCAGCCCAGGCGGCTGGGACTGTTTGAAGTAACACAGCAGGTGAACCCCGTGGCATTCAAGCTCAAGTTGCCTGACAGCATGAAAATACACCCAGTGTTCCATAGGTCCTTACTCTCACCGTACAGGGAGGGGCGGGAATTCCCGGGACGAGAGGGAGAAGTCACCACACACCCGCAGGTAGAAGAGAGGGAACACCACCACTTGGCCACGGAAATACTTGATTCAAGGTGGCGAGGACGCCAGGTGGAGTACTTGGTAGCTTGGGAGGGAGAACCCGGGTCGGAAAACACGTGGGTTCCCGCGGAGGCAATTGATGACGGGTATCTGGTGGAGGAATTCCACCGCCTGTTCCCGGGCAAACCCAAACCACTGGCGAGATTCTGGGAGGAGCAATTTGGAACCACAGACTATGAAGATGATTTTGTGGGTTTTCCGGCCTCCGAGGAGGAGGGAGGAGAGGTTTCGGAGGAAGAAGAATCAGACTGGGAGGCCCACCCCGCGGGAAGGGGTCAGAACGGGTGGGAAGCGGGCTTCGAAT